CGGGGTGGGAGGGGGGGAGGCAGCAGGGTGGGAACCCACTTGGGCAGGACCTGGCCCCCACCCTGTGCACAGAGGTAGGGGGCACGGGTCCCCCTGTGTGCACCATGAATGTGTGCCATGGCAGGAAGCAGCCTCCCCTCCCCAAGCCTGCAATGGGCAGTGGGATCTGGGCTCCACTGCAGCAGCTGCTGCATCCTGCCAGGGGCAGGGGGTTGCAGACCCTGGTCTGTGGCCCCATAGTCCTGGCAGCTGAGAGCCCCCTCCAGCAGGGCTGTGGAAGCAGGAACTGTGGGTGGGGAGCAAGGAACACCAGCAGGGCTGAGGGGGAGGCTGTGCAGGGCAGGGGGAGTTTGGGGGGGATTGAGGGGCACCAGGAGAGTCAGGGGAGCTGTGGAGGGCCTTTCACTTTAATCACAGATTTTGGGGGTTTATCAGAGAATTTGCAGGGGGGTTAATAAGAGAATTTGTGATTTTTATTTATTTATTTATTTATTTAATCAGGGAAACCCATGATTCCTGCTCATGAAAATGGAGCTTCTGGCCTTTAAATGAAATTGGAATTTTCCATTACTTATAAGTGGCTGTCTCCTGCTTCGGCTGTCAGCAGTTATTTTTCCCTAGATTTCAGCAAATCTTTTATTGCTCTAGGTGGGCTGAATTATACAGCACTTCTGGTTGCATCCTCATGATGTAACGTTCATCTCATGAGAATAGAACTGAGAGTGATGTAAAGCAGAAGTCTAATAAGATTTAGATTAGGAATTGAAACTCTTCTAATTTGGAGTTTGAAAATTAAAAATTAAAAACCCTGATGATTGCAAAATATATGATTCCTAATGAAGTAACACATCTCCTCACACCTTAACTTGTCACATCTCCCCTGGCTACTGACTGGAAGCACTTGCACAAAAGTTGCCTCTGAATAGCAGTGTGTGTGAATACCAAGCATCTGGACTAGCTCAAGCTTCAGCTTTCCTGATTTGCAACATAGTAGGGAATGTGGTGAAAGCCATTATCTATTTTTCTTACCTCTTATGTTATTATAATTTGACTAGAAATAGGTCCAAACCAGGGATGGATTGGAGGAGGGGGAGGTGCAGCAGTGCAATTACACCCCCTTTGATTACTGTTCTACCCAAACTTTAAAACCACCTGCCTGGGAGGGGAAGCAGCATTTCTATTCAGGCAGCGCTGAGAGAATCAATTCACTTCCTGGCTCATTTATCATCTCCCTGATTCCTATTAATCTCTCTCCACTCCACAGGTGTGAACAACCATCTGTCCTTTTTAATTGTCTTGATGTTCCGCTATGCAAACTATCCTGTCTTCTGCAATTTTGCTGTCTGTTAGCCATTCCTGGTAATGTCTCTCTTCCATTTCATATCCCTGCAGATTATTTTTAGCTCTACCCAAAAAAATTTAACTTGGGTATGGTAATATTAACTCAGGTGTAGAAATGACTGCTGGTAAAGTATTGGAGCCACTGTCAAGATGCTCAAGAAGACTAGATTATGTTTTATGAAGCTAAATAAGAGATGTACATTTAACTATAACAAGTACAGAACTAATGATACAATATCTTTTTTATTATTTTTGCCTAGTTGTGTTTTTCATTGCACATTCCAATAGTTTATATTTGTTTTTGCTTTGATCTTAAAAAATAATACAGTGCTAGCCCCTTAATATATTAGTCAAACTTGTAATTTCTCTTTAATTGGAGAAAAATGTGTTGTGTTATATATGATGATGTGCCACACCATCTGCAATCCCTTCTCAAAATCTTAGATCCACCCATGGTCCACAAAATTCAGACCCAAGTCTGATAACAAGGTTTCCCTCAGGAAAGGAGGAGGAAGAACTGTGTAGGTCACTTAAAAAAACCCCAAAACAGTAGACTTTCAGGAGTTGTAAAATAAAATGTCTTTAATAATATAAGCCTTGGTATTAACCATCCAAAGTTCCTAGTGAATTCAGTTACTCAACAGGATCATCCCTATTAAGTTTAGTCAGATTATTCAAGGGAAATGTTGAGATCTCAGTTAAACATGCTTATTTTTCTGTTAATCTAGCTGCTGTTGATTCATCTGCACCAAAGAGTTTGCATACTAGCATTAAATGTGAGTATAATTTTTATTCTGCTTTCAAAATACGTTTGGTTTGGAAATATTTATCTTGGATAATCTTATTTTGTTTTGTGATGCTGATGGTGTTTTGAAAAGCCACTCGTACAACTAAAGTTTGCATCATTCCAAGTGTGGTCAAGTTGATAACATAACTGTATCAATTGTATGCTACATGCTTGTGCTGATATGTGCTAAATCTCAGGCCCTGGGATTTTGCCTTGTTTGTACTCCACTTATTTTGTTTGGGATATAATTTTTTTTGCTTGATTTTCCTGTCTAAACCCTGAAATTTTAGTTCACATACATGGAGTACTAATCACTAACTTCGTGTATTCCTTGGTAATCAGTACTGATCATAAGGCAAATAATTCATGGAACAGCAAAGGCAGAAATGAAAATCTGGGCATCAGGCAAGTTAAAGGCTAGAGCAGGTTTTAATGATTTATTGATTGGGTGGGGTTTTTTGTTTTGTTTTGTTTTCTGAAACAGAGGGGTGTTGGTCTGCATCCTAATGCCATCTGTTGGCTGAACATGGAGTATCAATGGAATGGGGAATACAGGCAAATCTTGTTCCACTCCCCCCCCCCCCCAAAAAACCCTGGGGGAAAGAA